CCTGTCTGTTGCCGTCCATCCGAAAAGAGGGTCCTCTGTCTTCATGTAATTTGCTGCTGATACATCGACTTGCTGAATGCTTTGTCCTTCGCGGCTCTCGTCTTTGACATCACGCATCCACTCTAGAATCCTCAAGTTCGTGTTCTCCCTCCTCTCTATCTCACTCTGTTCGAGATCCGTTTCTACTTCTGGCGTCGAGTAATCATCCTGCGGATAATGACCACCATCGTCAATGACCTGCCATTCCTCTCCAGCTTCCAGTTCGCCTGCCTTCAGTAATTCCTCGCCCAATTTGTCTGGCTGTATCTTATCGATCAAGAAGTCGTCCCCGTACCTGTTGTACCTCATGCCTGTGCGTTTGCGATTGCCAGTCCTGGTTTCCGGTGGTGTTGTTCGATCCGGTTCTATCCATTTCGGCACCTCGTCTTGCTCCGGGTCGTTCCAGTCTTACCAAATTTTCAAATTTTCGTATCATCAAATTTTCGGTGTGGGTAAGTCCTACCCCCACTCCCCGGACAAAAATATTTATCGACGTCCCCGTCGATGTTGTCGGGTCTGAATTGTCCTGAGGAATGTCCAGTGGCCTGTCTGTTGCCGTCCATCCGAAAAGAGGGTCCTCTGTCTTCATGTAATTTGCTGCTGATACATCGACTTGCTGAATGCTTTGTCCTTCGCGGCTCTCGTCTTTGACATCACGCATCCACTCTAGAATCCTCAAGTTCGTGTTCTCCCTCCTCTCTATCTCACTCTGTTCGAGATCCGTTTCTACTTCTGGCGTCGAGTAATCATCCTGCGGATAATGACCACCATCGTCAATGACCTGCCATTCCTCTCCAGCTTCCAGTTCGCCTGCCTTCAGTAATTCCTCGCCCAATTTGTCTGGCTGTATCTTATCGATCAAGAAGTCGTCCCCGTACCTGTTGTACCTCATGCCTGTGCGTTTGCGATTGCCAGTCCTGGTTTCCGGTGGTGTTGTTCGATCCGGTTCTATCCATTTCGGCACCTCGTCTTGCTCCGGGTCGTTCCAGTCTTCTTCTACAAATGATCCTGCATCAGACTCCACTCCTATCTTTTCATTGTCGTCCAAACTCAAGTTCTCATTACCATCATTTTTCTCTCTAGTGCCTTTCTCATTCACTTCGCACGCTGGCTCTACCACCAGATACTCAAGACCCTCCATGTCCTTCGGTATGCACCAATCCTCTGGAGACGGGACGTGAGGCTTCAGATTTTCATAATGTGCCGCTCGCCCAGTACTCAAGCGATAGAACCGTCCTTGTTGATGAACCTCCGTTATCATGAATGGTCCCCTCCACTTCTTGAGTAGTTTCTTTGTTCCCTTGGGCGGTATGACATTTTGGAAGACCCACACGTATTGGCCCACTTCATATGGCTTTGCTCGTAATATTTTTTCGTCGTATTTCCTGCGTTGCCTCATTTGCGCTTGCGCCGTGTTCCTCCTGCATAGCTCGTTCAATTCCTGTTGTCTTTTGATCGCTTCTTTCACGTATGCCTGAGGCGACGTCTTTTTCTCTTCGTATTCCGGGTAAAAGAATGTCAGAGGCATTGCTCTCTCCCTGCCCGTCAACATCATGAAAGGACTGATGCCCGTAGTTGAGTGATGTGTACTGTTGTAGGCTCCTACTACCTGTGGCAGGTATTTGTCCCAGTCCGTCATGTATCTTGAGCAGTAAACCCTTAACATGTTGACCAGTGTCCTGTTTTGTCTCTCTACCAACCCATTGGTCTGTGGATGATAGGTTGTCGAGTGTGCTTGAGCAATGTGCGATCTCTTCGTCAATTCTTTTGTCAAGTCCCCTACAAAAGCTTTGCCGTTGTCCGACTGGAAAGTCATTGGACAACCATACCGCGATATCCAATGCGTTATCAGATGATCACATGTCTCCTCGGCCGAGGCTGTTTGGCACGGGACCGCTTCCGCCAACTTTGTGAAGTGATCTATTATAACCAGTATCTGGTTATATCCCGACTCCGTCATGCAGATTTTTTGATGGTCTATCTGCACCACTTCATTGAACTCTGAGCTCTCAACGGACTTGAGGGGAAACTTCATCTTCCTTGGGTCTTTTACCTGGAGACATGCCAGACAGGCATTCACCCATCTCTCGCAAGCTTTTCTCATTCCTGGCCAATCAAACCTGTGAAGTATCCTTTGTTGTACTTTGTCTATCCCCTGGTGGCCCATCTGGTCGTGCGATCTGAAAAGCACCTCCGTTTGATACAACTGTGGCAGTATGATGAGGTTGTGTTTGTGTAATATCTTCTCCTCATCTTTCCTCTTGCATGCTACCACCCCATCAGCTGTGTGGTAGAGTAAGTCTTTTTTCTCTTTGTAGAACTGGCTCAAGATCTTGTAGCTGTCTTCCTCGAGTTCCCCCTTCTCCTTGACCCCCGACTGGATCCATTTGGAGAGGTTACTTGTCATTTTGTCATTCTTTTGGGCTCTTATTAGGTCTGACAGCCTATATCTTGCCTTGACATGCTCCTTTAGCGCCATGATCTGTCCATTCATCTCACCAGGTTTGTGGATGTCATCACTCAGCTTCACGCATATCATCCTTTTCACGATTTTCATATCATCTTCTGGCACCAGATTTGTTCTGACGTTTGAGTTGCATGATAGTTCTCTGTATGGCTTCCTTGAAACCGCTATTCTCTCAAGTTCCTCACCACCTCGTATCTCCTGTATCTCCAGATTGTACGTTCCTGATGATGGATCCGTCTGTAACTCCCTGTCGTGGTGCCTTGTCTTCTCTTCCGCCAGTATCATGCACAGACTGTCCTGGTTTTCGCTGCTCTCATCCAAGTCTTCATCCCATCCTTCACGCTCCCCGGACAATTTTCCTTCTCCGGTTCCTTCTTCCGTGAACCTGGAACACTCCCCGGACTCTTGACCTGGTCCCAGCTGCTCAGTATCTTCCTTGAACGTCACTTTCTTTTTCCTAACCCTGGTCTGCTCCAGAATGTCTTCGGGGATTTTGTCAACTAGTGACCGCACGACATCTTTGCTGTCAGTGACGCTTCCTCTTGATGAGTCAGTATCGTTCACCGTCTCTTTTCTCCGAAGTATAGTGAATTCCGGTTTCTCTGTACCCTTCTCCTGGATCACGGGCTTATCATCTGATAGTTTTTCGAGCAACCTCATTAAGTCATCATCTATCTGTGCAGTTCCTGCTTCCACCTGGTTAAGATCATAGCCTTTTGCCTTGAGCGTCTCCTTCACGATCTTCGACTTGAGTATAATCTCAATCGGAATCCTCTTGCTCTTCCTCAAGATGGTCTTCTCTGGAGGCTCTTTAGGCAATTCAGGATGATCTTCTATCGGTTTGCCTGACTTGTCCAGCCATCTCGTGAGTGGAAGACTGTCGTACGTTTCCTTGTCCATGAATGAGAAGCCATCTTTGATTTCAGGTCTGTCTGCTTCTCTTTGCTCTTGTCTCTCATAGAACTCCGTCTTCTTACTCAAGCTGTCGGCATTCTGATGTTTATCTCGCGTTCTATGCTCAATTATCATGTTGTATCCGTCCAGGCGAACTATCCACCTCCCAATGTAACTTTGGTCCATTGAGTACGTTTTCAGCCAGCTCAGTGCTCTGTTGTCGACTCGCAACTTGAATGGTTCACTGCCCAAGTATGCCCTGTATTTCTCGACAAAGGTAACCACCGCGAACATCTCAGCTTTCGGTGCTCCGTACTTCATTTCCGTGTCACTCAGGACTTTGCTCCCGTACGCTATTGGTCTCAAGACTGTCTTCCCATTCCATTCTTGTTCTTGGTGGAGAATCCCAGAAATCGCGACTACCGACGCATCCGTGTCCAGCACGTACATCCCTTTCTCAGTCGGCATACCCAGTACTGGTGCCTCACATAGCTCTTTCTTTATCCTCTGGAATGACTCTTCTGCTGCGTTGTTCCACGTGAACTTCTTGCCCTTGTGTCTCATTAATTGTTGCATCGGGTATACCTTGTCTGCATAGCCTTTGATGAACTCTCTATAATAGTTAGCGAAACGCAGGAAGCTCATCAACTGGTGCTCTGTCTTCGGTGATTTCCAGGTCAGGACTGCTTCCACGGCGTCCGTATCAGGTCTGATGCCGTGCTTGTCTACCATCCTGCCCAAGTATTTTATTGAGTCCTTGAGTATCTCGCACTTGGATGGTTTACACTTTAGCCCCGACCTCTTCATGCATGCAAACACTTCGTCTAGTCTCTCAATGTGGTCTTCCAGTGTTGGCGTCGCTATTACCACGTCATCCACGTAGCACATTACCAGATTGCCATACTTCTTCGTTACGCCTATCAGCGCGTGTGCCATCAACCGCTGAAACGTGGCTGTGGCATTGCAAATCCAAACGGCATCCGTTTCCATTGAAACAGACCCAACTCGCAGGCAAACCCTGTCTTGTCCCTGTCCTGCTTCCTTAGTGGTACTTGCCAAAAGGCCGAGCCTAAATCAAGAGTCGTAAAAAATTTTGCATCACCTAACTTCGAGAGGCTCTCATCAATCCTCGGTATGGGATAGGCATCCTTCACCGTGACGGAGTTCAGGTATCGAAAGTCACAACAAAACCTCAACTGGTCGCCTTTCTTTTTGGCCATCACTACTCCACACGCCCACGGTGACTTGGATGGTTCTATCATGTCATACTCTAGTAACGTCTCGATCTCTTTTCTACACGCGTCCGATTTGTGTGGGGTCATGCGCCTCGCCCCCTCCCTGTGTGGTACCGCGTTTTCCTCAAGTTCCATTTCATGCTCAACGAAATTACAACACCCGATATCCGCCTTATGCCTCGAAAAAACTTCTTCGTTCCGCTCTAGTACGTCCTTGATGGCTTCGAGCTGTTCATCCTTCAGTTTGCCCCTCAAATGTTCAATCTCCGGCAGGACCGGTTTTTCATTTTGCATTTCATCTAGTGTGGGTCAATCTGGAAAGTTCGAACAGCTCGAAAGACCATCATCCGTTTCTGACTTAAGTGATTTAATAAGACCTGAAGAATCTTTTATTTTCTGCAATCGTCTCAAGATACAAATTTTGTCCCTGTGATTGGTGCAATCAACAACTTCATTTTGTTTTGAATTCTCAATTGTTTCATATCGAGTTTTAACCGGTAAAGCATATCCCAGTTTCCTCCCTCTTTGTATCGTGATCGGTATATCAAGGGTATTCAACAAGACACTGACGCAGAGGCCGCTCTTCGTTATCGAAAATGATCTTCCTAAAACAGCAGCACTTTGACTATTAGGATTCACACTTGCTTGTTGTCACTTACACTATGCACACTTGCTTGTTGTCACTTAGTTCATTGTAATTTTTCATCCTCAAACTTACGATTGCCGCTTCATTAGCTTTTAGCCTCACCCTCCTACTCAAGAATACCGGTGCTTTGTTTTCATTTGCCATTATTAAATTTACCGGTTTGATTGCGTACCTCCTATCCGGGTTCCGTATCCTGAACATTGCGTTATTTAAATCAATCGTTACGTCGAAATTCCTGATGAAGTCTCTGCCCAAAATGAATTGGTCAGATTCATCTAAGTTTTCTACCACGATAAAGCTCATCCACAGGTTACGTTCCCCCAAATTGAGGGCTATTATCGGCGTCCTGCCCAGCACCCGTAGGGCCCCTTTGTTTGCAGCTGACAGCCGTATTCTCGAGTCTATCAAGTCACCTTTGTCAAAGCCCATCTTCTCCCAAGTTTCGATTGGTATAACGCTCAAGACTGCTCCCGTGTCAAGCAACCCACGCAACTGAGTCTTTTTGCCACTTATATCCAGCACGTGCCCTGTCACATCTGCCTCCGTCCCGATGTGCATTGCATCTTCCTCAAGCATGGCGCAGTGTCCAATCGATCTCACTTTCAATTCTTCTTTCCCTACGTAGATTTGTCCAATTAGGTCTTCGTCACATGTTATCATTGTCTTGGTATAGATGTTAATCCCATCTATATTTAGCATCACCTCGTGTGGACCGTAATCTTCAGTATATCTGCTATTAACACGTACCGACTTGCTGCCCCCTCTCATGAGTAGTGCTCTCAGTGCTCTAGAAGTCGTTTGTGGGCTTATACCACTCAAATAGTCTGCATACACGTCAATGTGCATTATCGTCTGGTCGCTCGGCTCGCCCAAGTTTCTGGTTACCTCGTGGCCGCCCACTGTGATTATCGACATTATCCTTGCCCCGATTCTCGATATGCCAAAAGGTTTACCTGTCACCATTTTCACAGTATTGCAATTCCCTGTCTTCGTTGAGCCTGGTACAGCCTCTGGTATTTGTTTCGATCCGGTTAATGCTTCGTTAAAATTCTGTCTTTCTATCTCCAGCTTTAGTCGTTGCTCTATTTCTTTCGCAGCCAGATCCTGTTTCACTTTGGCAATTGCTTCCGTCGCCGCTTTCTCATAATTTATCTCTAGAGAGTTCCCTGCCGCGGATTCTATGGCATCATTAACATGTGATACAGCTTTCACTGTCTTCGTCGGCAATTCCGTGCTTGGTGCTCCTAAGTTCCTCGATTCAAATTCGTTTTGCCTGTTCCGCTGATTCTGCACCGCCGCTAATGCCAACTTATGTTTAGGGTGACTCTGGTCCTTGACCGCTTCCCAGAACAAGGGACAATCCATTCGGAAGTGCCCCTCCTGGTTACAGAAGAAGCATCTTGCGCCTATCTTGATGATTAAGCCACTATAGTACTCGTGTTCCTCCATTTGGCTCATGTCCTCTTCATCTGGTGCATATCCTAGACTCTTCATGCCTTGTTTGTATGTTGTGCAGTCAGCCACGTGGTGATCCGCCGACCCGCAGTTCGCGCATGATCTGCGCTTGTCCATGTCATCTCTAGGTTTGTACCATGACGACCTCTGCGGTTGACTTCCCCCTTGCGTGTTCCTGTTTTCTGAATACGAGTATTTCTTTGGTTTCATCAGCATGTATTCCCTTGATTTCTGTCTCATTTCTTCTGGGGTTGGTGCGCTGTCTTTCGACAATGTGTAGTATGTTGCTAACATTGTCCTTAAGTCGTCACTTTTTACCCCATCAATGAACTTCGAGGCAATGCTAAAGTTTCTTCTGTTTGTCGACTCCTCTGGGTCACTCCTTCTTCTCAAGCTCTCGAGATCATCTAGGAACCGATCTATTGACTCGTCGTCCCTCTGCCTTTTCTTTTCAAATCGCATCATCGCTTGGTGACCCTTCATGCCTGACCCGAATCGATTCAGCAATATCTCGAAGATCTTGTCCGCGGTATCGCGTTCTTCTTCTTTCTTCGCAACCACGCATTTTAATGCTGTGCCTTCTAAATTGCTGAGTATGGCTGTGCATGCTTGTCTTTCATCGTTCAAGTTGTCTTGCTCTAGATGTAATCTCATCACTTCCACCCACGTGTCAATGCATCCATCTGAGTCGTCTTTGAATTCTTTTGGCTTATTGAATGTTTTTCTTGATTTCCCATCTCTCCTATCGCTCGAGTTAGTGTTCCTCGTGGCGAAGGCCTCTAGAGTCCTGTTCATCATCTCCCAAGTGTTTGCCCATGTCATAGCATCCGGACCTGCGTTGCTGTTAGCTGTTGAGTCCCCCGGACCAGTCGTTGTACTTGACATTCCATTCTTCATGATTGTTTTAGCAGCTGTTGGTGCTATGCTCACCGTATCCCGGGTTAAGGGCAACGGTGTCGATTGCCGTTTGTTCCTTTGTGGTTCCACAAAGTCAACTCTGGTGCCTTGCGCGCGATCCGCTGCCGGTCTTTCTTGTGAGGTAGAATTACTCAAGATTGCATCCAATTTCGCCTGTATTGCACACGAACTTTCGGCCTGATTTTTGCTCATTGTGTCCATTCTCTTTTCCAGGCTACCTAATTGGCTGTTGACATCATCATATCGGTTTTTTAACTGTTGCAAATCTTTTTTGATGTTCTTATCTCGTTCTTCATTGGTGGTTTCTACATTATCTGACATTTCCTTGAGTCTCTCTTCTGTTGCCTTGGCCAGGTTAAAATAACTATCCAGATACTCGTTTTTGTTGTATCTTAATTCTTTTCTTATCACTTCTCTGTCCTCTTCGCTGTGCTTCAGCTTTTTGTCGATCTGATTCAGTTTCGCCATCAAGTCACCTAGCTCAAGAGTAGCCTCTTCATGGTCAGCCGTCGGTTTTTCTTCTGCCGTCGCTTCTGCTCTAGTTTGTCCCTCTCTCGGATTGGCTTCTGTCGTCTTCGTGCTCACTATTCCAAATGTTCGTGCTCTTTCAGCTTTTGGTTCTTCAGTCACGTTCTCTTTCGTTTTTATTCCGACCATCATCGCCAACCTTTCTGTAAAAGATGTCTTTTTTACTTGAGAGTCTTCTTTCACCGTTTCTTCGATGTTGCCTCTTGCATCTTCCACGTTGTCTATTGGTGAGAATTCTATGGGTTTCGAGTTTGGTTCTTCTGCATTGGGCATTGGAGTTGACTCCGTCGCTATTTTCCTTGTTTCATCAACACTTTGATCAGGTGTCTCTAGATCAATCTCGATGGTGGGTTCTACTCGTTCCCCTTCCATGCCCTCTCTTGCTCTCTCCGTTGTACTCCTTGTGCTGACCATGTTAACTGAAATGTTCTTCTTTGTTATCTTCGGACCCATTGATGTTGTTTTGCGTAGCGACGAATTATACTTTGCTTCGGTAGGTCTTTTTTCAGCTACCGGTACCCTGCTCCGCCTCATTATTTCTATTTACAATTGCTCTTATTTACAATTCTACTATATACACAATCCTATTCTAAGAATAAAATCTTTCGAGAGGGGAAAAACAATTTTCTTTAAAAAAAAAATATACAACGTGGTGAAAACCTTGTTTCAGTTCTCTTTATTAACTTTTCGAGAAACTTTCCTTATCTGTGGTCTCAACCGTACCTGGTTCCAATTAGTCTTGTTCTATCTTAATTCTGTCTTAAAACACTTCTTGTAATTTTACTTCAATTTTTTACACTACCCAAGACTTCCAATTGCCGTCCCTACTCTTCTTTGTACCGTCCCAGGCTTCTTTCTCCTGTCCCAAGACTGTTCGGTACCGTCCCAGTACTTTCCGGCAGTGTCCCAAGACTCTTGTCCAAGACTAATGTCCCAAGGCTAGTGTCCCAAGACTACTGTCCCAAGACTAGTGTCCCAAGACTAGTGTCCCAAGACTAGTGTCCCAAGACTACTGTCCCAAGACCCTTGTCCCAAGACTCCTGTCCCAAGACCCTGTCCCAAGACCCTGTCCCAAGACCCTGTCCCAAGACCCTTGTCCCAAGACCTTGTCCCAAGACCTTGTCCCAAGACCCTGTCCCAAGACCTTGTCCCAAGACCCTGTCCCAAGACCTTGTCCCAAGACCCTGTCCCAAGACCCTTGTCCCAAGACCTTGTCCCAAGACCCCGTCCCAAGACCTTGTCCCAAGACCCCGTCCCAAGACCTTGTCCCAAGACCCTGTCCCAAGACCCTGTCCCAAGACCCTTGTCCCAAGACCTTGTCCCAAGACCTTGTCCCAAGACCCTGTCCCAAGACCCTTGTCCCAAGACCCTGTCCCAAGACCCTGTCCCAAGACCACTGTCCCAAGACTGTACTGTCCCAAGACTGTCCCCATACTGCTCTGTCCTAAGACTTCTTCGGCACTGTCCCAAGACTGTTGACAAGTGTCTGGGTGGTGGGACTTCTTTCCTCTTCGTTATGGGGACTTCTTGATTCGCCGTACCTTGTACCACCACTCAAGCTCTAGTAAAATTTTCCCAAAATCCTCTCTTAAAAGCCAAATGCTGACCCCCCTTTTTCTTATTTCTCTTTTTGGCTACCTCTATTTCAATGTTCCAAGTAAGTTGAGACCAAAACCTGTGCGCAGGAATCACCTGTTCGTACAAAATTTTAACACAAATCCTCACCAAAATGCAACAAAAATCTAAGCAAGAAAAAGTAATAAAAACAGAAAGATGAGCCCACCTAAAATTCAAAGGTGACAAATGTCTACCTTCTATCGAAAAAAAA